TGGGAGTAACCAAACGCCAATTAAGTTTGTAAGAGCAGCTGTCTTTTGCTTTTCCGTGGGAAACGTGCCACTCTTCTACAGAAAAGCAGCAAAGCTCCTTCGTTTGTCGTAACTTTCTGGGTGATAGTTGCTGGGATCGATCCTGGCTGAGCGGAGCCGGTGGAGGGGGTAGCGGGTTGCAGATGCTGCAGAAAGGGACACTTCAAGCACCTGGCTGGATTTTGCTGTAAAAGTAGTGTTTTAGTTCCAGAAAATAATTTTCTCTGAAAGAGTAACTGAAAATGTTTTAATTTCAGGATTTGTTTGCGTCAGGTACTTGTACAATTCCTAAGCCTGGTCAGGTCGGGGTAGGGCAGGCTGTGACAGCGATGTCCTGTTAAGGTGAGTCAAAGCAAGCAGCTAAAACCATGCCCTGGGGACCTCTGTGAGGTTCAGAAATCTGTCTGTGCGACAGCGTAGCAAATACCCAGAGGAGCTGATGGTGCAACACGTGCTGGGGTGTGATGGAGGGTGTAAATCCGTGATGCCCTGCTGCAGCCTCTTGGCTGTGCTAACCCTGCTGTAACTTAAAGCATTGCTAGTTGTGTGTGTTTGTTTAGAGGGGGAATTTTAGAGGCTGCGTTTGCCAACTGAAGTTTCAGCTGAAGGCTTCTGGTTATTGAGACTTGCTCGGTGTCTCTTCCTTCTGGTGGCAAAGGCCCCTTTGCAGCTTCAGCCTTAACTACACGCAGGCCCCTGCCTTACCCAGCTAACGCTGCTGTACTGAAACACTGCAGGTTTTGTCGGTGATGTTTTGTGCTGTAGCTGCTGACAGCCCAGCTGCCCTGGCAGGAAGCCCCAGCAGTCTCCAAATTTTAGAGATCTGTGTGTCAAGAGCTTCTTGTGATGGCAGCAGAAGGGAGTTTCTGGAGGACTTCTCAGGAGCCTCCTCCCTCTTCTTCCTTAAGCCATTTGGGGACTTTTCTCCAGGCTGCTGGAGCTGGTTTCCCAAGGCAGGTGAAGTAACTGCCTTGAGGATGTGAAGAACAGTTTTTCTCACCTGATGTGAGGCAACTCAGTGAGAACCTGGAGATATACTGGGCTTGACCCTCTCTTCCTCATAGTGGATGGGGGGCGGCCCCA